TCTCCTCCACAGATGCTGCAAGACCTGCTGAGCTTTTCCAGCAACTTTGTTTTTGTTCCTGATTTACAGCATCTGCAGTTCTTTTGGTTTTTATTTGGAAATCAGAACATGATACTGGAAAGTTACCTGTCCAGCGAAAAATTCTGGTTCTTGCTGAGGTGAAATCTCTAATCTGGATCTACTTTTAACCCTTTCACTAGGACATTAAGAACTAAAATGATTTTATTTGCCTTGTACTTTTCTCCTAGAAGTGCTGACTCTGTCTTACAGATCCTCACATAACTGATCATTCTAGGAACGAGGAGGTCTTTAGCCCTTTAAACCCATTGTGCCAGTGAGATGACAGCTAATCCACAAGTAAAGCTGAGACTGAGTGTGTCAACAAGCTGCTGGGGAGCATTGTGTGAAGCTGCTTTCAGTCAATGGGCACAACAGGAATCACTGGATATCGAGAAGGTGTCTCAGCTAATTCTCATCTTTTCTAGAGGCCTGCTGGAGTGCTAGTACTGACATTCCAATGTAAATTAGCAAATTCAGTAAATATTACTGACTGGAGCTTTCCTGGTTTATACAGCTCTGCTGTTCCTCAGACTGACTCACCAAGTCTCCAGAAGTGACGAAAACAAAAGTCAGATTTTAAAAATAAGTTTCCAGTTCATTCTGTAGCAATACCTAATTATTTAAAGTTATTAAAATTTTCCACTAAAAACTTGCATTATCAGGAAAACACAATGAGAATTCAATTTGCCAGGCCCATCTTTAGTTACAATAGCTGTCAAGTAACTTAAATACAGATAGATCACAAGTGTTCCAGTAGCATACTTACAGAAGCAGAGGAACAAAGTGTCCACACACATTGCATACACACTGAAGAATCCATGTGCAACAAGGTAAGAACCCACGATCAGAGTCTGCAACACAAACAGAAGTATCACTGCTTCAATCAGTGCTTTTCCACAGATTCAATCTTTGCTCCTGTACTGTATGAATGGTAGTGCCTGATATTAGTTAACTAGCACACAGCAAGGATTAGTAATTATGTGAACTTGCTGGCTTTTACTCACTGTACAGCACACTAATTACTGTCTTTACTTCAAGGTAAAGGTCTACAATGGAAAAGCACCCAAGAGGGGAATGTATTCTTTCAGCCATACTTTTGTTGCACACCCAGCATTAAAAAAGGTGTGGGGACACATTCTGCTTAAAGCAAGCACTTGACTGATCTCACTCACCAACAGTGGAACCCAGTAGTAATTCAGGGTTGGAGCCTTGTCTTCAAATATGGTTATTCGTTTCGTGAAGAAGAAGAATCCAAGAACACCTAGAGAATAGAGACAGACTGAATGACTTTAGCAATCAATCACTCAACAACTGACTGATTTATTTATTAAGATGAATGAACACACACTGGTCAGCATGGTGAGGGAAATCATGTTCTCCTCTTAAGGATTCAAGCAGCCAGCAGCAGAGTCCATACCAACATTAACTCCCAAAAAGATTAAAATTTCTCTGATTTGATTCCAACTTGTTGCTTGTTCCTAATGTGACAGCTGCTCCACTGAACATCAGCAACTGATTACACTGGAATCTCAAACTGTTCTCAAACACATCTCACATGCTCAGGGTCTCGCAACTCTTGGTTACTTCCCCTTATCTCAGGGATACACAGGGCAATTGGAGAACCAAGAATTGCCTGAACTCTGCATAGACCACCCTTGGTACCAGAAATGTATTAATCCTTCATGGCACGATATAACCTGGCCTTGCCATACCATACCAAGTTGTCACTAATCAGTCAACAGAATGTTTACACTCTGCACAGACTATCACAGCCAGGCTCAGAAACAATCCATGGTAGTGAGGAGACAACAAGTTGTGAGTGTATGAGGCAGCCTGTCAGCTCCCAATCAGACCACTTGGGTTGGGAGTTACTATCCAACAACAATGGGCTATTGTAACTCTGCAGAAAGGGTCACGTGTCTCAATTTCTAATATTAAAGTAACATAAAACCTACAGATCTACAGAGATGTGGGAGTAGGTGCGTGTGATTCACCACAGCATGGAATCAAGGACTTAGAGTTTCTCTGATCTGGTACCACACTCCGTTTGATAACTCATGGGGCCCACTCAAATTGAGTTCATAATCCCAAGTTCGAAATGTCCATCTCACTGAATAACTAGAAATGAAGATTGCAGAACGAGGAACTGGCGGGGCAGAGTGTGAAGAGGGAGAGCGAAAGGGCAGTCCTCTGGGTGGGGGGGAAGCATCAAGCTGTTGGTCCTGGATTTTTGTAGGTGGAGGGGGTGCAGACAGTCAAATCTCAGAATTTCCATTATCTGTACTTGGCACAGCCTGGTCGACAGGAGATTCAGGAAAAACAAACCTCAAAACCTTCTCCATTGTACAGAGAGCAGAGTGAAAATAAACAGAGACTGACCCACTCCTCCGACAATAAGCAGTTTGCCCAGAAACAGTAGAAAATCTGTGACTTTATCCAAAACGACGACCCTGTGGGAAAACAGAGAACTGGGTAACTTCTCACAGATGGACTTCCATGAGCTCCTCGCTGCTGAGATAGATATCCCATCTGTCACCCTCCCCTCCCTGCCTCATTCCTCCTCCTCAACCCCCCTCCAGGCTGCCCTACCATCCCACTCACCGGACAATATTTCTCATCAGTAAGAAGAAAGCGTTCTTTGCAGAAGTGCAGAAATTCTTCCCATAAATTGCAACCTACAGGAAAGAAACAGGAACAAATCACTCACTCAGGGTCACTTATAGCCTCTTCTGTCCTTGGCCCCTCTGTTGGTGTCTCCGACTGAGCACAGGCAGCAAGAGGGAACGAGACTTAGGAGAGGAGGAGGATGTGATGGAGCAGGGGCAACAGGAATGTGAGAAGGCGGCAGAGGGAAGACAGCAAATCTTGAGGGGAAAACAATTTTTAAAACGGAGGAACCGATTTTCGCTCATCAAGATCCCAGAAATAGCCTTGAGATAAGTAACCAGAGAATCTAACCATTGAGCCACAGGAAGTTGGAAGGAGATGAATACTTGCCATGATATAAGCATTCCTGTTCAAAAACTTCAGGAATTTCTCCAAACACCAGAAGCAACATTTCAAGCAAGACAATATAAATTTTGCGACTTTATTCTGTGCACCTGCAAACCACAAATGGAAACTTTTATTGACTGCTCAGGCAGAATAAAACAACTACACTTTTGTTCCTATTCACTCATGAGACGTGGGTGTTGATTGCTGGGCCCAGTATTTATTGCCCGTCCCTCAATGCACTTGAGAAGGTGGTTGTGAGCTGCCTTTTTGAACTACTGCGGTCCACGTGCTGTAAGTAGCCCTTACAGAGGGAATTCCAGGATTTTGACCCAACAGCACTGAACGAATGGCAATATACTTCCAAGTCAGGATGCTGAGTGGGCTTGGAGGGGAACTTGAGTGGGATTTTGTTTCCATGTGTCTCCCGCCCTAATTCTTCATGGTCATGGGTTTGGAAGGTACTGTCTAAGTAGCCTTAGGTGAATTTCTGCAGTGCATCTTGTAGATAGTACACACGGCTGCTACTGAGTGTCAGTGGTGGAGGGAGTGAATGCTTGTGGATGTGATGCCAATCAAATGGGCTGTTTAATTCTGGATGGTGTCAAGCTTCTTGGGTGTTGTGGGAGCTGCACTCATCCGGACAAGTGGGGAATATTCCATCACACTCTTGACTTATGGATAGGCTTTGGGGATTCAGGAGGGGAGTTACTTGCTGCAGGATTCCTAGCCTCTGACCTGGTTTGTAGCTACAATATTTATATGCCTGGTCCTGTTCAGCTTCTGGTCAATGGTAACTCCCAGGATATTGATATTTGAGGATTCAGTGATGGTAACATCATTGAACATCAAGAGATGATAGTTAGATTGTCTCCAATAAGAGACAGTAATTGTCTGATACTTGTGTGGCCTGAATGTTAGTTGCCACTTGTCAGCCCAAGCCTGGATATTGTCCAGATCTTTGTGCATTTGAACATGGACTGCTTCAGTATCTGAGAAGTCACGAATGGTGAACATTGGCAAACATCCCCACTTCTGACCTTATGATGGAGGGAAGGCCATTGGTGAAGCAGCTGAAGATGGTTGGGCCTAGGACACTACCCTGAGGAACTCCTGCAGAGATGACTCACCTTTAACAACCACAACCATCTTCCTATATGCCAGGTATGACTAACCAGAGATTTTGTCCCCAATTCCCATTGATTCCAATTTTCCTAGGGCTTGTTGATGTCACACTCAGTCAAATGCAGCCTCAATGCCATGGGCAATCAATCAGTCTTGCCTCACCTCTGGAATTCAGCTCTTTGTCCATGTTGGAACCAAGACTGTAATGATGTCAGGAGCTGAGTGGCCCTGGCAGAAGCCAAACTGGGCATCACTGAGCAGGTTATTGCTCAGCAAGTGCTGCTTGATAGCAATGATGACACCTTCCACCACTTTACTTATGATTAATAGTATATCGCTGGGGCGGTATCTGGCCCAGTTGGATTTGTTCTGCTTTGTGAACAGGACAATTTTCCACATTGTCAGATAGATATTAGTGCTGTACTGCAGCGGAACAGCTTGGCTAGGGGCACATATCTATGCATCATCCAAAGCAGCAAGTAAACATTACTAATAAGAAATAGATGATGGAAAGAATGTAAAGGTTCCAACAGCTTTTACCTTTCATTTTCTGATCAATATATTCCAATAAAACTCTGATAACCTGGACAAGGGCTAAGAGGAGAGATCCAAATGCCAAGGTGCCAGTGTGGTATCTGCAGAAACAGAAAGATATGAAAATTAATTGGAAAAGACCCTGTCAATAGTGTAGCAAACACCACAGGAGCTCGATTGCTTAGTGTAACTGGTAACATGCACCTTTACTCCAGGTGTCTCCAAGGAGGGGGAGTACCTTGCAGAAGAGCCTTGGGCTGTCCCCCCATCTGCCCAAAGAGACCAGGGAAGGGGTAGAATCTAGGAAGGAATCATCTCTTTTCCTAGAAGGAGAGATCTGAACCCTCATCTCCCTTTTATAAATTACACCTCTGTGCAGGGTTAAGGCTAGAAACATGTTTGGAACCGAAGGAAAAAAAATACTGTACAGGATGAAAATCAGAAAATAAAGAGGAAAGCTTTGAAATACTCAAAATTGAACAGATTCTTCACAAAATCCAGCAAAGTTTCAGGATTTTGTCTCTTATTTAACCTTCTATCACTTTTACTTCTCTTTCCCAGTCCAGTGTCTGTTCCTTTCCCGCTCATCTGCATTTACTTTTATTGTTGCTATCTGTATCAGGAGGCAAAGGACTGATACACAAACCTGACCATGCACTTCTTTGAGTAGCCAGTGGGTGGCACTTCGACCCAATGAATGAAACTGGGAACCACTTGTGCAAGTTCACGACGAGGAGTGGGTCAAATCGATTCAGAACAACATCCGACACATTCTCTGGATTCCTGTAAAGTCAACATAGTCCTAGAAAACCATAGGGCTGTCCTCCCATTGGAGAGAGATGAATGGTGGTGATTTAATCTGAGGGGCACTACAGCTCAGGCAAGGGAGAGGCTGAGAAGGACAGTCCTTCATGGTAACTGAACCCACTCTGTTGGTATCACTCTGCATTGCAAACCAGCCATCCGGCCAACCAAGCCAACCAACTGGATTCCTGTAAAACATGAATGGAGGCCTGATCCACAATCTTAGTACATCTCAACATGTGCTCTTCCATGTTCTCATCCAATGCAAAGTCCTTGTCTGCTATCCTCTCACCTCACTAATAGCAGTGACAACAACCAGCCAGATCACACACCAAAAGTTCCTTCCTAAACCTCTCTCCTTTAGGAATTTGAAAATCAGGTCATTATTGTTGTAGTTTGCACAGTGGATTTAAGTCCGATTTTGTATAATTTCATACCTTGCTGGATGTTGAATTATCCAATCTTACCAGGACAAAAGCTGCGAGAAATCAAATATCACTACACTGCAGCAAGCACAATGTGTGTGGGTAATTTCTCTGGATGTCGGGAATGACACCGTGCTCAGTGCCATATCCAACATACGGGAAACCATGAGGCATTGAGAAACATGCTCAATATCAATGCAACAACTAAACTTTGTGACGTACGGCTAATGGCCCTTCATACACCCAGCCCCCAGTCAGCTCAATGCAGAAGTAGGTCTTTGTTATGACAGACGCAATAGTGCATCTGCTTGTGCTTCCTGCAATGTCCACAACAATATACCAGCAAGTTCAAAACTACTGGCACATCTACAGCGTCAGCACTGGCACAGTGAACTTTATTAGAAGTAGTTAGTTGTTTCAGTTTTTCACTACAAAGTTTTTATCTGTGTGGACGTGCACAGTTCCCCCCTCACATGAAGGTGCTCACCCTCCGGGGTACAGTTTCCCCTTCTTCCAAAGGGATGACTCTCCCCAGATTCTAGTTCCATCTCCTGAAGGGGCTGACTCTGCTCAGTGTACAGGTTTAATTGATGGAGATAACAGCATTCAATATCTTCTTGCATTAACTTTGATCCCCATCAGATTATTCAAACCCACTTGCCTGGATGGGTGCAGCTCCAACAACATTCAAGAAGCTTCCAGGACAAAAAGCAGCCTGCTTGGCTGGCACCACATTCACAAATATCAATTCCCTCCACCACCAACGCTCAGTAGCAGCAGTGTGTACTACCTACAAGATGCACTACAGAAATTCACCAAAGATCCTTAGACAGCACCTTCCAAACCTACATCCACTTCCATCTTGATGGACAAAGACAGCATGGGAACACCCTGCAATCCTCTCCAAGTCACTCACCATCCCAACTTGGAAATATATCACTGTTCCTTCAGTTTCACTGGGTCAAAATCCTGGAAATCCCCCCCAAGGACATTGTGGGTCAAACTACAGCAGGTAGACTGCAGTGGTTCAAGGCAGCAGCTCACCACCTTCTCACGGCAACTCGGGATGGGTAATAAATGCTGGCTCAGCCAGTGATGCTCACATCCCACAAATTAATAACAAAATGGGATATACACACACACACTTACCTGAGTGCACGTCCTATTGAAGCAAACACAGGGAGTGCTGGAATGTCAGCCGGTTTATTAAAAGCCCAGTAGTAGGAGGCAAAAGCTCCTGCGAGTGTAACTTGTCCCAAGGCAATGACAAAATTGCACAGCCAGAAGAACAGAAAGACGTTGTAGAATTGGAAGACAATGAGGTATCGATGATAGTATGACTCGCCTCCATAGAAAGCAAATATACACTCTGCTTCCGGGCACTGCTCTATGATCTTGGAAGTATTAAAAGTCTAGAAGGAGAAAGACAAGTTATTCACAGAAATACCACACTATAATCATAACACGCAACCTCACGAGGCTGTAGAGGAGCTGTTCAACACCCTTACTACAAAGTTACATTAGACATTGCCTACCAGATCAAGCCTTAGCAGTCCTCATTCAAGCCAACAAGGATTTCATCTCCTGAGCTTTTCCCCCAAGATCGGAACAATAAGATCAGGCATTTCCACAAAATCAGATGGATCTAGTTTCATACACCCACAAGGAAACTTTGAGCAAGGTATCTCGATTCAGTTCTGGTACACAAATCCAGGAACAGTGATGTCTGGATCATTTGGTATCGCTCCATTCAGATTGTTGATTGTTCCCTCCCCATTGCACTGACTACAGCTGAAGTTGTTTAGGAGCTTGTTTAAATGGTAGAGACGAGCCAAGTCCTCTCACACACCGATGGAACCACAGGCATATCCAGAAGCACAAACAGACATTTCAATCATGAACTGAATTGACCAATCCTTCCTTGAAATGTGTAGAGTTGGTGGGACCAACTTACCACCTCAACTACTGTCCAATTAAGGGCAGCATGGAGGAAGAGAAGCAGACTGTAAGTTGCTGTGGATCAGTGCAATGACAGTCACCAAGGGAGACTGTCAATTCATTATTATCAGATGCTGTCCTCTTTCTAACCCATTATAAACCAGAGCCACAAGGAAACAGTGGACAGAATCTCTCTGCTGATTGAGACAGAGATAAACTCTCCAACAACTTGTGTTGGGGAAAGCAGTGATGAGAGATGCTGGAACAGCAGGCTGTGTCCGATTTTAAACAGGAACTGGCCATTCGGTCCATCTGGTCCAGACAGGTCAATGGCACAGAGCAGCCACAGACTGATTGAATGATGAAGCAAACCTCCCAGAATACCATCAAACAGACAAGTTGGAGGCTGTGCCAGTCAGAACACAGGTGCTGGTAGGGGAAAATGAGAAAGGAAACAGCCCCCCTCCCCTTTTCCTCAGCATGTTTTGTTCAGGAATAGTACTCACATCAGGATTACAGGTCTTCATGGTGTAATTACAGGTCAATTCATTTGCCAGCACTTTATAAACCGCTTTACTGGAGGTGGACAAGAATCTTCAGAATCAACAGTCAAGTCAACAGATAACTTCTTCAAATGGAGGGTTAGAAATTACAACACGGGAATTTACTCCAAAAGGTACATACAGAACATTTGTACAGTGCCCAGAATATTCACTCAACCAACATGTATAATGAACGAATCAATCAGATTGGCTAAGGCCCAATCAAAGATCAATGATGAATGAAGAAGTTTCTTGTTTTACATGGGTTTGGCCAGAATGTGAGAGAACTTTGAATGGTGTCAAAGGACATTAAAACAGGCCTCAATTCATTATTGGCAAAGAACAGGTTCTCCTAGAGTGAGGCCATTCCACCAGTAACAACCCTCCTTCAATTGTAGAGTTTTAAATTAGACTTTTCTGCTAAAATCTCTGGTGTGGAACATGAAACCACAACTCTGCCTCAAAGGGGAGTGTAATACTGAGGTGTGTCTGTGTGTCGGAGACGGCAACAGCATGCGCGAGAACCAGAGCGAGAGAGAGACAGACAGACAGCCAGCCAGAACAAGAGAGCAAGTCAGAGAGAGACAGCATGTGTATATGAGAGAGAGCAAGTATGCTTTTGTTTGAGAAACAAGGAGCGTGCAAGGGTGAGCAAGAGCAACTGTCTGTTTGGAGGGACGAAGGGGGAAGAGCATGAGGGCAACAGAAGAGAACTTTTTGCCCATTTCCTTTTTTGAATAAGGGTATAACATTAAGATATTTCCAATTCACTGGTGCCTTTCCAGAATCCAGGGTACTTTGGAATACTATAACTAATGCATCCACTATCTCTGCAGCCACTCCTTTAATACCCTCAGGTGCAGACCTTCAGGCCTCAGGGACTTACCTGCTTTTAATCCCATCAGTTTACTTAATATCTTCGCCCTAGTTATTGTAATTACACAAAGCTTTTCTATATTAAGTGCAGTTTTCGGGAAGAAATTACATTCCACTGTGAAAACAGAGACAAAATATTGGTCAAAGGATACACGGCAGTAATGCCCCAGTAAGCTATGCAGAGTAACAGCAGGAGAAATGTGATGACAGGATAGACCAGAGTGGACATAATATAGCCAACAGCTCTGTGGAAAGAGAAAGAAAATATGACAAGTCACTGATATTGTTGTCAGAGTCTTTCTTAATCCAACGGTCTTCTGATTTTCTCCCACAAGGTCCAACTGGATATGGTTGTGAACTGACTTCAGTAAGATGTCTACGAGACCATCAACATTCCCCACCCGAAAGCCAGAGCACATCACAGCCCACCGCCTGATTCACCTGCCTTAAACCCTCCAGCCTCCCTGCCCCATCACTTACCTCAAACCCCAAGCCCTCACACCTCCCAATGCTTCAGCTCCACTTCAACGCTGCCCAACCCCCAGCCTGGCTTAGAACTCAAAATATCCTCTTTATAAATTGTTCTGTACTCACTTGCTTGCTTCCTTTAGCAGGGCTATTGCTATCATAATCCTCTTCCGTAGGAATATTAATATCAGAATGATGATAAGTTCCAGGACCACCAGAATGATTACTGCAATGAGAAAAGGAAGACATTAAATGTGTGTCTCTCTCTGGGAGCAGAGGGACATAAATCAGAGCTGACATCTGCCCTTATCAATTGGAACTGGTTTAACTCTGATCTTTGTAGAACTTTCCACAACAGCAGCTGTCACCCAGGATTCCGGAGTTAAAATTTTTTTGACAAAAATTGTGTCTTTGTCGAATAAGAAGATTTAAAGCTAACCTTATGGAACTGAAACTAAAAATTGTAGGACTATTGAGATTGGACAGCAGCAATGCCTAACCTTTCAGCCACGATAAGTAACACTCTTGATACCCTTTTCACTCAAATCCATTCAATATTCTTGTGCTGTCAATTGAGAGCAAAATGAAATACCATTGAAGAGTTAGGGAAAAAAATTCTGATTATCCCTGAAGTCACAACAATGAAAGTAATAGAAGGTAAACAAATATATTGCAACCATTCCAGGTTTAAGTCTATAAACATGACTGCAAATGGTGCAAAAGAGGACAGACACTCACCTTGACCTTTTCTAGGTGCCCTGTTTTAAAGCGTTGAACAATAGCATGGAACATCTGCCCTATCACTGACATTAAGCTAAAATGGTCTAGTTTCTTGCTCTCCCTCCCAATTTTTAAAGAAAGGAACAGCACTTGCCAATTTCCAATCCAATAGAATCTTTCTGGAATCCAGGGAATTTAGGAAAATTAATGCATTGACAATCTCACTACAATCCTAGTGAAGATGAAATCCATTAAGGACAGGGACTTGTCAAACTACAGCTCTGACAATTTGCCCAGTACCACTACTTTAGTGATTGTAATTTTCTCAAGTTCTTCCCTCTGTCCATTTTCTGATTCAGTTATTTCTGGATGTATTTGTATTGTCTGCAGTGAAGACTGATACAAAATACCTGATCAATTCGTGTGCCATCTCCATATTTTCTATTATTAATTCCTAAACGTCTGACTACAGAACTAAGGCTCACTTTGTTAATTTGCTTTTTTTTTGATATAGTGTGTAGAAACCTTTATCTGCTTTTATATATCTAGCATGTAAACATATACTGTCCATGTTTCAAGTCAACAAAATAAGTAACAGCCATGGTCTGTTCATTTCTCAGGGCAATACCAATCACCTTTCCTAGATTGAAATTTGTACAAGGCTTGGCAGTTAAGTGTTAATCATCACTGACGAGTTCATTCCCATGGCAACATCTGAACTAGAGTCCACTTGCCAACAATAATCATTCTTCTCTCATACAGTACAAATAACTGGTTTCCCCCGAAATGGGGATCCTTGTAAACTGATCTGCCAAGCACAAGGCTGAAAGCTTGGACAGAACGTGCCTTTTTTCCAGCAATAATCAATCACAGTTCTATCAAGGTGACTGTTTATACCCTAAGGTTTACTGCAGTCAATCTTGTGTCAATAATTTGGGATTTCTCTCTCACATAAACATGAAGGCCCAGAGCTCTTTGCGGTATACCACTGCTGACATCCTACCAATGGGCATATATCCAGTACCCCTTTTCTCTGTTTAGTGCCACTCAGCCAATTTCCTAACCAGGTCATCAAGTTGTCCTTGATTCCATAAGCTTCAACTTTAGCCAATAATTTCTTATGACAAGACTTTATCAGTTGCCTCAAAAAAGGTCCATGTAAATGCTAATAGATAATCCCTCATTCACCACTTCAGTCCTTGATTTGAAACATTCGCCCCATTCCTTTCCATAGACACCGCATATTTTCTTCTTATTTCAAAGTTTCAACATCCACAGGATTTTCCTTTTCTGTTATACAGTCAGAAATGCACAGCATGGAAACTGACACTTCAGTCCAACTCATCCATGCCGGCCAGATATCCTAAATTAATCTAGTCCCATTTGCCAGCATGTGGCCCATATCCCTCTAAACCCTTCCTATTCATATACCTAATCAGATGCCTTTTAAATGTTGTAATTGTACCAGCCTCCACCACTTCCTCTGGCAGCTCATTCCATACACTCACCACCCTGTACGTGGAATAAGTTGACCTTTAGGTCCTTTTTTTAAATATTTCCCCTCTGATCTTAAACCTATACCCTCTACTTTTGGACTCCCCCAGCCCAGGGAAAAGGCTTGCCTATTCACCCTTTCCATGCTTCATGATTTAAAAACCCTCTATAAAAAGGTCACCTTTCAACCTCCAACATTCGAGAGAAAATAGTCCCAGTCTATTCACAGCCTCTTCCTAAAGCTCAAACCCTCCAACCCTGGCAACATCATCATAAATCTTTTCTGAACTCTTTCAAGTTTCACAACATCTTTCCTATAGCAGGGAAACCAGAATTGCACACGGTATTCCAATAGTAGTCTAACAAATGTCCTGTACTGCTGCAACATGACCTTCCAACACCTACACTCAATGCATTGACCAATGAAGGCAAGCATACCAAATGCCTTCTTCATTATCCTGTCTACCTGTGACTCCACTTCCAAGGAACTATGAACCTGCACTCCAAGGTCTCTATGTTCAGCAACATTCCCTGGGACCTTACCATTAAGTGTATAAATCCTGCGCTGAATAGCCTTTCCAAAATGCAGCATCTCACATTTCTCTAAATTAAACTCCATCTGCCACTCCTTGGCCCGTTGGCCCATGTGATCAATGTCCCATTGAAATCTGAGGAAACTTTCTTCACTGTCCACTACACCTCCAATTTTGGTGTCATTTGCAACCTTACTAACCATACGTCCTACGTTCACATCAAAATTATTTATATAAATGAAGAAAAGCAGTGGACCCAGCACCAATCCTTTTTACACACCGCTGGTCACAGGCCTCCAGTCTGAAAAGCAACCCTCTACCACCACCCTCTGTCTTCTATCTCCGAGCCAGTTCTGTATCCAAATGGCTAGTTCTCCCTCAAAGTGAGATCAAACTTGTTAACCAGACTACAATGAGGAACCTTGAACGTTTTACTATAGTCCATATAGACCATGTTCATTGCTCTACCCTCAATCCTCTTTTGTCACTTCTTCAAAAAACTCAATCAAGTTAGTGAGACACAATTTCCGACGCACAAAGCCATGTTGACTATTCCTAATCAGTCCTTGCCTTTCCAAATACACGCAAATCCTGTCCCTCAGGGTCCTCGCCAACAATGTGCCCACCACCGATGTCAGGCTCACCGGTCTATAGTTCCCTGGCTTTTCCTTACCAACTTTCTTAAATAGTGACACCACATTAGCCAACCTCCAGTCTTCTGGCACCTCCACTGTGGCTATTGATGATACAAATATCTCAGCCAGGGGCCCAGCAATCACTTCCCTAGCTTCCCACAAAGTTCTAAGTTCCACCCGGTTAGGTCCTGGAGATTTTATCCATCTTTACACGTCTTAAGACCGTTTAGCACCTCCTCTTCCGAAATATGGAGCTTTTAAAAGGTTGCTATTTATTTCTTTACATTGTCTATCTTCTGTATCCTTCTCCACAGTAAACACTGATGCAAAATACTTGTTTAGTATCTCCATCTCCTGCGGTTCCACACAAAGGCAGCCTTGCTGATCTTTAAGGGGCGCTATTCTCTCCCTAGTTACTCTTTTGTCCCTAATGTATTTACAGAAACACTTCGGATTCTTCTTAGCCCTAGTTGCCAAAGCTCTCAAGTCCCCTTTGTGCCCTCTGAACTTCCCTCTTAAGTACACTCCTACTGCCTTTAAACTCTTCTAGGGAATTACTTGATCTCTGCTGTCTGTACTTGACATATGCTTCCTTCTTCCAAAACCTCAATTCTCTAGTCAGCCAGCATTCCCTACACCGACCAGGCTTGCTCTTCACCCTAACAGGAACAAACTGTCTCTAGACTCTCGTTATCTCATTTCTGAAGGCTTCCCATTTTCCAGCTGTCCCGTTACCTGCAAATATCTGCCCCCAAACAACCTTTGAATGTTCTTGCCTAATACCGTCAAAATTGGCCTTTTCCCCAATTTAGAACTAATTTTTAGATCAGATCTATCCTTTTCCATCCCTATTTTAAAACTAGTCAAATTATGGTCACTGATCCCAAAGTGCTCCCCCATTTGACACCTCAGTCACTTGTCCTGCCTTATTTCTCAAGAGTAGGTCACATTTTGCACCTTCTCTAGTTGATACATCCACATACTGAATCAGAAAATTTTTTTGTACACACTTAAAAAATTCTTCTCCGAGTCCTTAACACTATCCTAGTCTACGTTTGGAAAGTTAAAATCAGCTACCATAACCACCCTATTGTTCTTAGGGATTACTGAGATCTCCTTACAAATTTGCTTCTCAATTTCCTGCTGACTATTGGGGGTGGGGGGGGTGTGGGGTCTATAGTACAAGTTCAGTAGATTAATTCTGTTTTATCAGGTATGATTTACTCTTTGCAAATCCAAGTTAGATCTGTCTGATCAGCTGAAAATTTTAAGGTGTTCAATCACCTATCCTTAAGTCACTAATGTTCTTTAGGGAAGGACACTGCCATCCTTTCTTGGTCTGGCCTACATGTGAATCCAGGCCCACAGCGATGTGGCTGACTCCTATTCTGCCTTCTGGGCAATTAGGCTTGGGCAACAAATGCTGGCCTGGCCAGTGACACCCATATCCTGTCAGCCAGTAAAAATAAATTTAAGCTCTAGTAATTCCTTAAAGTATTTATTAGCCTAACTGATCTATAATTCCCTAGTTTCCTCCTACCTGCCTGAAAATTCTTGAACAGGAATGTGACATTTTTTTTTAGTTTGGAAAATTGTATAACTCCTTGAATCAAAAGACAACAGCGCATCGGAATGTTCTGACCTAACTCTATGAAGACCCTGGGTGAAACCATCTGGGCCCAGGGGTTAGTCACCCTTTGGTAACATTTTATTCTTTGCCGCTACATTAAATGGTGAAACTCCATTCTCTCTGACTCAACCAGTCTGGTTAAAAATCTCAACGTCTCTCACAGAATTCAAATACAACATGAAATGGAACAAGCTGTTGCTTACAAAATGCCAGCCAGGTTTGCCGTATGTGTAGGTAGACTCGCAGGTCAGTATGGACGCCCAAGTCTTTGATTGTCACTTCTGATCCTGGAACTCCCTTCAACTCTTTATATTCCACGTAGCAGTGAAAAATACCTGCAACAACCAAACAAATAACTAATCTTCTTCATAATGTGCATTGACTATCAACAGTTTCAATGTCAGACATATTACACAATTGTTTGCTTTCTTAACCACCTTTCCTCTCAGAAGTACCTGACTTTTTTCTATTAGGGTAAGTGAGCAATCTCTCCGTCTCCCCACTATGTTTCTGAGAGACTGAGCCCACTAACAGTCATGTCATCTGAACATTTCTACATATACTGTGTTGGGGGCAGTGTATTAGCATGGATAGAGCATTGGCTGACTAAAAGACAGAGATAGTGGGAACTGCCAATGCTGGAGAATCTGCGGTAACAAGGTGTAGAGCTGGATGAACAGCAGGTCAAGCAGCATCAGAGGAGCAGGAAAGCTGACGTTTCGGGTCTGGATCCTTCTTCAGAAAAAAAGACAGGGTTGCATTAAAGGCTCATTTTCAGGATGACAACTTCCAACTAGTGGAGTGCCACAGGGATCAGTGCTGGGGGCACAATTATTTCCAAACATATTCCTGACTTGGATGATGGAAGTGAATGTACTATAGCCAAGTTTGCGAATGACACAAAAATAGATGGGAAGGAACATATGAGGATGACACCAGGAATCTGCAGAGATATGGGCAGGTTTGCCCCAGTGAAGGGGCAAAAACTTGGCAGATGGATACAGCGAGGAAAAGAATGTAAGGTTCTGCACTTTGGCAGGAATAAAGGAGTGAATATTATTAAATGGCAAGAGACTGCAGGAAGCTACAGTACAGAGGGATTTGGGAATCCTTGGCCATGAGCCACAAAAAGCTAGCATCCAAGTTCAGCGGGTAATAGGGAAGGCTAATGGAATGTCGGCTTTTCACCTCAAAAAGGGATGGTAAAGCTGTACAAAGCACTGATTACACCACATCTCGAATACCATGAACAGTTTTGGTCACCTTATTTAACGAAAGACCTACAGGCATCGGAGGCAGTCCAGAGAAAGTTCACTTGGTTGATCCCAGGTATGGAAGGACTTTTCTTTCTTAAATATAAAGGAGTAGTTGAGTTGGTTGGCCCTGTACTCAGAGTTTAGACGAATGAGAGGCAGCCATTATTGAAACATGCAAGATTCTAAGGGGGCTTGACAGGATCAATGTGGAAAGGTTACTTCTCCTAGTGAGTGTGTATAGGACCAGAGGCTATAATCCCAGTATAATGGGCCACCCACTTAAGCAGAGATGAGAAGGGGTGTCTACGCTCAAAGATTATTCAATTTGTCGTAATCTTTATTCAGAGGGCCGTCAAAAGCTGGATCCTTAAGTATATTCAAGGCTGACACATTTTTAATTAGGGCAATCAAGGATTACGGGGAAAAAGACAAAGACAGAAAAGTGAAGTTGAGGATTATCAGATCAGCCCAGTTGCAGACTGAGTAGGCTGAATAGCCCACTTCTGCTCTCAGATCACTGCAAACCTCACCCTAAATTCACAACATAAATACATACAAACATATCAAAACACAGTGATATCTGAATATTGACTGTTACATCAATCTTGACTGTTTCTTTTCCTTAACTTTAACCCAAGGCACCGAGGCTATTGCTTAGAATAGCTCAGTTCAATTTAGGCATCTAACGTGGTCTAGAAGTTGACCATTAAACACAGCAACACCTTCCTCATCTGTAGGATCAGTACTGCACTTGGCTCACACTTGTTGCAGGTTTGGATTTACACAGGCCACCAGTCCCCATATAAAGACTAGCACAGTGATATTTGCCAAGTCATCCTGGGTACATGGTAGTTGATGAAAAATTTAAATATTCCTGATCTATGAAGATTGCCAGAAGCGATAACTTCACAGCTGAGTAGTGACATGACATACCGTAGCCAAGGACAGCAATAACCATCAGGATGATTGACCACACCATAAATGCAGCAATGAAACGCAACAAGATGACAAAGAGCAGACTAACCACCAGGGCGATGCTCATCCCTCTACAAAATAAGCAGACAAAATTAAAATCAAAAACTCGCATTTCTATGGCACCTTTAAGTGTAGTAAACTGTCCCAAGGCTTTTCACAGAAATATTATCAGATAAAATCTAACATTGAACCACCCAAGAAGAAATTAAGATAATTAATCTTAATGTCAAAGGGTTAGGTTGTAAGAAACACCTCAAAAGGAGAACTGAAAAGTTGTAATCTAGAGGATTAGGAAGGCAATTACAAAATTCCAACCCTCATCGGCTGAAAGCACATCAGGCATTGAAGATATCGTGAGTATGTTTGGGGCTGGAGGAGATTATGGAAATGGGAGGAAGCAAGGTCATAAAAGGAGATAAGAAGAGTAAGAGACGTCAAAAGTGAGGTGTTAGCAGATCTGATGCTATTAGGTCAGTGAGAACACAAGTGATTATAAATCAATGACCAGAGGAAAAGGTTGGTGGTGATCTCTGCAAAGATTTGGTTTTGTTTTAGAAAGGGCACAACCCCTGTGAGCCAGGGGTCTGGAATACAACGACTTTCCACTTCCACTGGCTCCTGCTGACAAAGCTGAATCACTGACAGCTGTAGTTTGATGATAGAGTCCAGCTCTGATTCCAACAAACTTGGATTGGAGTTTGAGAACTGGTGACAGTCCACTATTTCAGGTTTTACCAGGGTGGCAGACATACTGGTTTTGAGTTTTGGCCTTCCCAATATTTATGAGGAGATTTCTGCTTATCCGTCACTGCACATGAATGAGAAGCAGTGGAGAATCATAGCATACAGTGCTGAAGAGAAGTTGGGCTCCTTCAGTGCACATATGGAAATGGATATTATGTTTTCAGAAAGCATACTGTCAATGAGAAATACAGGCAGCACTTTAGGTGACTCTGGTAGAAGTAAGGGCAAAACTTAGTCCCCATCCTATTGGAAACTACAAAGGGGGAATTAATTAAACACTTACATCAAAATCCAGTACCAAGATTGTGTGTAATCTTCAAATATCTTCATTGCAACCTCTCTGACTTCAAGCACCATGTTTGCTCCCCTGTAAAGCACAAAAATGGGATTCATAATTACAGTTAAAATCTTGTCACAAGCTTGTGGAGATATGGCAGAGGATGAAGTAGATTGTGTGGATTGGGAGGCCTTGGGAAAGGGATCCAGAATCTAAGAGGTGGTGGTGGGAGGGGGTGGCTGGGGGAACATGTTCAGAGGGGATATTCTCAGTAGGAGGTCTGCTGTACCCAAGGAAAACCAAGTCCTTTTGAAGCAGCCTGACTTATCTATTGATGTCCCTTAACTTCTCAGAGTTCTGATAGATTACAAGACTTTTCCAGATTGTCGGATGGGATAGTCATTGGATAAAAACAATAAATCACTTTATCTAATGGATTAAAACTGTTTTCAAAGATTTGAACCTTAAACAGGTCAATGTTAGTATCACTGTACACTGTGCCACTAGATTCTAATAAGGAGGAAAGGTGGGTAGCACAATGGATTGGAAACAGGGCTCAAATCCAACCAAGGCTAAAGACTTGAAAACTTCCTTCTCTGTGCTGACTGTTCTTGTAAGGTTCAGTTTCAATCCTATCCCTAAAGGACACAGGTGTCAATAGGGAAGAGGAGTAGAAAGACACTATTTAGCCCTTTGAGCCTGTTCCACTCTTCAGAGATCTGAACTACATATGCCTACTTTTCCCACACATACTTAACAGCTTTTGCTTAAAAAAAAGATCAATCTCAGTTTTAAGACGAGTGATTGAGCATCAAAGCTGTTTGTCAAGGAGTGTACCAGGCCCCTCTTACCCAGTGTCTAAACATTTCCCAATTCAACCCCTAAAGGTTCTGGCCCATTTTTTTTAAACTACCTTCACTATCCCAGATTCCTGATTGGGAGAAACTATTCCACTAATCTACCCTATTTGTCCCATTTAACATCTTGAAAACTAGAATGAAATCACACCTACACATTTATTCCTGGACACAGATCCTTAGTTTGTACTATGGACCTCTTGGGACAGTGTGCTGATAATCAGCCCCACTGCTCTATTAATCACACCATCAGTACAAACATGTTGATTCAATCACCAACTGCTTCTCTCTGGTCACCATCCAGAACACAAGAAAATTCCAGCAGGTTACTTTAAACTCAAAAATAATCCTGTTATTAGGAATGAAACTTATCCTTGAAGAAAGTGGAAAATTTTGACTAATCCAATGATCTACGCACTGAAAAAGACAAGTCTCTGCAAAGATTAGGTTCTGTTTTAAAAACAGCACAAGGGAAAAACAATCCCTGTGAGCCAAGGGTCTGGAACTCAATGATTTGTCACTTCCACTGCTTCCTGTTGACAAAGCTGAATCACTGACAGCTGTAGTTTGATGATAGAGTCCAGCTTTAATTCCAACAAACTTGGATTGGAGTTTCCAAGAATTGGTCACAGTCCACCACTTTGGGTTTTATTAGTGAGGCAGATAAACTGGTATTTAAAAACTCTCAGGTTCCCAGGGACTTTGAGAACAGGATTTCACAACAGATTCTGTGGCACCTTCTTTACTCTGCCTGTTGGCGCTGTAGAACATAAATCCCAAGTTGGGAGACTTTTTTTAAAATATAAACTCATGTAATGTGGGTCGCTGGCTGCGTCAGCACTTATTGCTCACCTCCCAGTTACCCTCCAGAAGGTGGTGGTGAGCTGTCCTCTTGACTCAATGCACAAGGTCGTTCGGGAGGGAATTGGAGGATTTTGAACTGGCAACTCTTAAAGGATGATGACACATGTCCACATCACAGTGAATGGTTTGGAGGGGAACGTGCAGGGGTTGGTATTCCCATGTATCTACTGCCCTGGTCCTTCTCGATGGTAGTGATTGTGGGTTTGGAAGAGGTTAAGGAATCTTTGTGGATTTCTGCACTGTAAACGTGCAGATGGTACACACTGTTGCTACTGAGCATCAGGGTTGGAGTGAGTGAATGTGTTGCCAATCAAGTGAACACCTTTGTCCTGGATAGTGCTGTGCTTCTTGAGTGTTGTTGGTGTTGCACCCATTTGGAGTTGCTAGGCACCAAGTAGCATGGAGACCCCTGGTCCTCTCAAAGTCAGGTTTTTGCAGTAAAGCTATAAACCCAATTTCCTTCAAAGCTTTGTTTAGCCATTTCTCCACTCAGTTGATTTCAAGTGGAAAAGCAGAAACCACAGAACACTTTAAACTGTTGGCAGCTCTCCAAGAAGACACCCAATAAATCCCTTTTCAATCCAGAAATTGTCCAAATGGTTAAAATTCTTCAATTTCTTTCTAGATAGTACTTCAATGTAAGCACGTATTAGAGTCAAAGAAAAAGACCCTTCGGCCCATCGAGTCTGCACCAGTCGTCAAGAACCACCTAATTATTCTAATCCCATTTTCCAGCACTTGACCCAGAGCTTTAAACGTCCAATATATTCACAATATTTGTTTAATCTATCCATGAGGTATAACCCTTAATAATTGATGGACCTGTCCCCCCAATACCCATCAATTGTTTCAGAACTGCAGAGTGCAGAACTTGTCACTATCTTTCAGGTGTGGTCTAACCAGAGCATAGTCAAACTGTAAAGTAACTGTTACCTTTTGCATTTGATTTCTTTAGAAACAAAAGATCAGAATGCCAATAGCCTTTCTGAATCTTTTCTGTAGCTATTTATGACCTTTAAATGACAGATGTACTTGACCCCCAGTTTTCATTTAAATTTCTACCGTTGCTAGTTGTTTAATCCACCATTTAGAAAGTTTCCTGTGATATTCTATTCTACTCCAGTAGATAACCTCACATTCACTGGTAACGAAAATCCACTTGCCACATTTTTCGATTCACTTAATCTCCCTCCTCTTCTTTCTTCAGTTCCATTTACACTATTGACATTGCTGCCTCCCCATATCATCAAATTTAGATATGTGGCTTTCTATCTCAGTGTGAGATCATTAAGGAAGGCAATAAACAGTTATGGCCCCAGCACAGATCCTGCAGGGACATCAATGGTTCAACTGTCTGCCCCTCCCAAACAGGTCAATAACTTGCTTCCAATTTCAAATTTGATCAAGAATCTCTTATGAGCTACCTCAAGTGTCTTCTGGCAGACCAAATAAATAGCATTTCCCTGGTCCTGGTTTTGTATTGCCATTTTTTAAAAAAATAAAAATCAATCAAGTACGACAAACTATGTCCCACCTATGCTGGCTTTCTCTGATAATTTGAAAATGTAATTTTCCCAGTCTTGCATTGAATACTCAGCTTCGACAATGTGTCCAAGTCTTGGAACAGAAATTTGTGCTTTCAAATCCTAAGGGGGCGAAGAACGTAACCTGCGAGCTGAGCTGACGCTTGTCTGATTCGAAAATACACAACGGGCTTTCCTTTGTGTCTAAACTGTACTGTACCTGGAAGTGCTCACTACTGACACTGATGAAAACTATGCAGTGGGAAGTTTTCCCACGTCTAGCTCTAACACTACCCAATGGAGTACAAAACCCACACCGCAAAACGAATAAGGGGTACAAACTTCGCTCCATCAAGCAACTGCGTAGCATTTATAGATCCATCGGCCGTGCTGAAAATAGTCTGGTTGGCAACTTTAACCACACCTTGCTGGACTTTCAGGTCAGGGAAGCATCTTCGGGTAACTGTAAGGTAAGTATTGGAGCATCATAAAGTTATCTGGACAAAATCCCGATAGCAGCAGCCAAGAACATATTCCACTGGTCAGTAGCTCTGGTTTAATTCAGTGAATAGTAAATTCCACACAAGTCCTTGTGCATCATAACTACGTACGTTCCTCCCCACCCCACTGTGCAGTTTGGAATCAGCTATGGGGGCTTGGTCCACTCAGTTCAAAGAGGAGAACGTTTATTAAAACCGGTTCGGTGAATTTCAGAAGAATTATGTTCAACTGACAAAGGGAATGTACATAATTCACCTCAAGGCATTAGTGACTGACCAGAAACAGGAGGAGCAGAAAGTAGCTATTCTACTCCTTGAGTCTGCTCCACCATTCGGGAAAAACCATGGCTGATGCGATTGTGGCCAATTCCACTTTTTCTAAAAAATTCATTTATGGGATGAGAGTCGCTGACTAGGCCAGCATTTATTGCCCATCCCTAATTGCCCAGGGGGCAGGATAGAGTCAAAACACACTGTTGTGGTCTCAAGTCACGTGTAGGGCCAGACCAGGTAAGGATGGTGGTTTCCTTCCCTAAAGGGCATTAGTGAACCAGGTGGGTTTTTTTGATAATTGACAATAGATTGGTGGCTTTAATTCCACGTTTTCTTTTTATTGAATTCAAATTCCACCACCTGCCATGGCAGAATTTGAACCCGGGTCCCCAGAACATTACCTGGATCACTGGATTAACAGTCCAGCAATATCACAAGGCCATTGCATCCCCACGTCTATCAGCAACCATAACTTTCAACTCCCTCGTACACCAAAACCACCCAGTCACAACTGCTCCCTGGGTATACTTGCCACCAATTAACTTTGCTTTGAGGTATTCCCACAATTTTGCTCTGTTGCTATTGGTCAAAGGAATAGAGGGAAGGTGATGGCCTACTGGTATTATCGCTGGACTGTTAATCCAGAGACCCAGATAATGTTCTGGGGACCTGGGTTCAAAACCCGCCACGGCAGCTGGTGGAATTTGAATTCAGTAAAATATCTGAAATTAAAAATCTAACAGTGACCATGAATCCATTGGCGATTGTCAGAAAAACCTATCTAGTTCACTAATGCCCTTTAGGGAAGGAAACTGCCGGTCCTTACCTGGTCTGGCCTACATGTGACTTCAGACCCACAGCAATGTGGATGACTCTGGACTCCCTCTGGGCAATTAGGAACAGGCAATAAGTGCTGGCCTAGCCAGTGACACCCACATCCCGTGAATGAATAAAGGAAGTCAGACATTTCGCTTAACCTCTACCACATGAAAAACATTATAATCTTATATGACGAGTGCTTAGAAAATCTTCATGCAATCAGGCAGAGTGAACGTTGTTTCGTGAAAGGGAAATAACGTTTAACTTACTGGAGCTTCCTGAGTGGGGAAGAAAACAAGCAATGTGGATAAAGTGATCCTATGGATGTGCTATAATTAAATTTCTGTAAGGCACTTTGTCAGACAAAGTGCCTCAAGTACTACTACACAGATAAGAGTTCATGGTGCAGGGGTGAGGGGTAGGGGTAAGGGGAACCCTATTGTATGGATAGGGGATTAGTTACATAACAGGAAACAGTTGGTATGAATGGTCTTTCTCAGACTCAGGACGATGTGACAAATGGAGTGCCACAGGTTTCAGTACGAGACTTCAACTGCTTACAACCTATAGTGACTTGGATGAAGGGACCAAATTTATGGTTGCTAGATTTGCTGACAAAGCATAGATAGTAGGAAGGAAAGTTGTAAGGATGAGCTTGCAAAAGTATCAGTTAGATTCAGTGATTTGGCAAAAATTTGACATATCAAGTATAATGGAGGGATATGCAAACTTGTTCAATTTGGCAGGAAGAATAGAAAAATTTATAGCATTGAAATAAAGAGAGATTGCAGAGGGATCTTCGTGTCCTAGCATATAAATCACGGAGTTAGTCAAGAGGTACAGCAAGTGATCAGGAAGGTAGATGAAGTGTTATTTATTGCAAATGGAATGGAATATAAAAGTAGGGATGCTTTTCTACAGTTCTTCAGGGCTTTAGTGAATACTGTGTACAGTTTTAGTCACATTCGGACAGTTGAGCCCGAATCCAATGGCGTTTAGAAAAACAAGTGATGATCTTACTGAGACACACAGGATCCTGAAGAGACTACACTGTGTTAATGCTGAAAGAATGACTCCCCTTACAGATGAGCTAAGGACTTGGAGACCTCTCATTTTTAATTTGTGTCCCCAAGTAAGATGGAGAAAAGGAATAATTTTCTGTCTTTGAAGCTCCCTCCCTCCCTCTGTTCCCTATAACCAGCGCACTCTCACCTTACCCACTGTCCCTTACAGGCAGCACTCCTATCCCACCTGTCTCATACTTTTAACCACTTCTTTCACCAACAAAAAACCTAATCCCCTTGTGTTTTAAGTCTTCACCTACCTTGTTTTCTTAGACTAATGTTTATAGATTCTCTCTCACTATATCCAAACTGTCTGTATCCCCTCCATCTTAGCTTCAGTCTTTGCTCCCCATCTCCAACATTGTCACTCAAGCAGAACTAGGGACAAAGCTGTGGGCAAGTTTCCCAGCCGCTGAATTAAACCTTAAACACTTACAAGGTTTGCTGGGAGTTAAAAAGGCAGGACAATCCCCATCTTTAAACACTTCGACAGGCGTCTGAAAGACAAAGTGAACATACAGATTGTAATGTCACTGTTCAATATTAACTTATAGTGAAACCAATACTCGTTTATTAGACAAGTATGTTAAGTTTGAGGTATCCTCACCTTGGAGTTTAAGTGCTTCTGTGTAACTCGACAATAATTCACTCAGAGGTTTATTGGTCAAAGTCCCAGTAAACCTTTAACCCAAAATTAATCTGCTCAGAATTAATCACTCTGAAGGTCAAGGAGTGTGTTTCAGAGTTGGCCTAGTGCTTCCCAATAGTTGTATAGTATTGAATTCATCTCAAAGGGACAAGTGGGAACCTAAGATGTGACCTTTTGACCTGAACATGAATGCATGGCCTGCAGCAACTGGAGTTGAAGCATGATCAAAAAATATTTTGCTCTTACATCAAAGGACATCTATATAATATATTGTCCATGCTATGACAGCCAGGCACCAGTGATTCTACCTCATCTGGAGTTCACACAGAGGACAAAACAGCAATCATGGCAATGATTTTTCATGATCACTAAACAGAGACTGACAGAAAAATTACTGGAAACAACCACAAACATTTTACACTGAAGTAGTTGTACAAATTGTCACATTCAAGTATCATGCACAGTCTTTGCTTCAGTATATTATGCCACTGGTAAATAAGTCTGAATTTAAAACTTAACCTGGATGTTTTCTACGATGGTGGCTGAGTACGATGCATTTGCCTCAAACTCTCCAGTAAATGAGTTTGATATTTTATTGTTTAATTTTTCAACATTTAAATAATAGCTTCAAAAACCATTTGAGCTGTGTCTAGAAAAGTACATTTTGAAAAAAATTGACTCATCAGATGTTAGCTGTGCCAGCATTTATTGCTCATCTGTAATTACCCTCAAGGTGGTTTTGGGGAGCTCCTTCTTGGAACCACTTGAGTCTATATGTTGTAGGTGGACCCACAACGCTGTCAGGGACAGAACTCTAGCATCTTAACCCAGTGACAGTGAAGGAACTGTGATATATTTCCAAGACAGGATGGTGAGCGGCTCGAACAAATTTGCAGCGCGTCGTGTTCTCATTCATCCACAGGACAATCTGGAACTTGGGAGTATTACAAAGTTGTGCTGTCATCCAGCACTGCTCACACAGTTGCCTTCCTGAGGCCATCATTTAGTTCATTGGCTGAGTAGGACACGTATAATGCACTCTGGTACTAATTCATGGAGATCAGGTGGTCTCAGGTTACACACTCAATTCATGCCAAATGAGCTGCATGAGGAACAAATTAGCCCAGAGTTCCAGATATGAAGTGCGGACAGTAGGAGCTCTGCTGCTTACATATCCAGACTTGATCAGGGACAATAGTACCTTGGGAAAATTACCGGTGACAGATTTATATCAAATCATTGATACAGATTTGTAAATTATTTCTTGAGGAGATTTGTAGCTCGGATTGTGGATGAGGTTGTAGACTTGCTTACTGATCCGTTGGTTTTGATTGTAGGTGTTTTGTCACCCTGCTAGCTAACATCATCAGTACGTTTCTGGTGAAGCGTTGGTGTTCTGTCCCACTTGTTATTTATAAACCTCGGTTTGCTGGGGTGGTTGGCATCACTTCCGGTTCTGTTTCTCAGTGGTTTGTATATCGGGTCCAGTTCAACATGTTTGTTGATGGAGTTCCGGTTGGAATGCCAGGCCTCCAGGAATTCCCTGGCATGTCTCTGTTTGGCTTGTGCAACTACGTATGTGTTGTCCCAGTCAAACTCGTGTCCTTCTTTGTCCGTGTGTACTGAGACCAGTGAGAATTAGTCGTGTTTCTTGGTGGCTAATTGGTGTTAGTGTATCCATGTTGTCAGTTTTCTCCCAGTGTGGCCTATGTGGTGTTTCTCAGTCCTTGCATTGTATTTTGTATGTTATGTTAGTTTCATTGGTTGTTGGTGTGGAATCCTTTACATTCACCAGTAGTTGTCAGTTTGTGGGCTACCCTGATACCTACAGGTAGGAGTACTCTGGTCATCTGATATGTCTCTGACGTACGGTAGGGTAAGTAGTGTGCCTGGCTGTGTTGTGTCTTCTTGTTGTGGTCTGTCACGGAGCTAACAGTGGATTGTGCTTTTTGGGTATCCATTCCTGATCAAAAACTCAGTATATGTGCTCCTGTTCTGCTTTGCGCAGTTCTGGGTTGCTCTAGTGAGTTGTGGCCTGTTTGAATAATGTCCTGATACAGCTCCATTTATGGGTGTTGGGGTGGTTGCTGGTGTAAGTAAGTAAGTATCTGGTCGTTCTGCATACGCTGGTCTGGAGTTCCCTGTTGTTCTTACGGTCCACCATTATGTCTAGGAAGGGTAGTCAGTTGTTGTTCTCTTCTTTTGTGAATTTTATTCCAGTGAAGATGTTGTTCGTGTGTCGGTGGGTTTTTTCTAGTCCTCACTGACTTGGGAGAAAGTCTACAGCCTCAGATTTGTAAATATATATGAGGAACCAGCATGGATCCCTGTGGCACTAATTACAATTACAATTAAGCAACTTAAAGACCAAGTTATCCCTTCTCTTTGGATCCTGCTAGCTAACCAATCCTTTCTCCATGCTAATCAATACACTTCCCTGTAAAACAAGTGCTTTCATATTGTGCAGCGCCCCTTTGATGCCGCACCGTATCAAATACCCTTTGGAAAAATCAAGTACACCCCATGTACCAAGCTCCCCTCTATCCACTGTGGAAGTTACTTTGCAAAAACTTCTTAAGACCTAGTCAAACATGATGGCCCTTTCATAAAACTATCTTGGCTCTGAACCTCCTTAATAATGGATTCTAGCACTTTCCCCAGGACAGATGTTAGACTAACCAATCTGAAGCTTCCGGTCTCCCTCCTTTCTCGAGTACAAGTGTGATATTTGCTATTTTCCAATATGCTATGATCCTTCAGGAATCTGAGGAATTTTAGAAGGTTATAACCAATTATCTGTGCAGCTACTTCTTTTAAGACCCTATGATGCAAGACCTCTGGCACTAGTGCGACTTGTGACTCAATGCTTTCCCTAGCACCTTTTTTCCTACATCGTCTACTGTGAACCTCGGGAGGGGGACCGAGGTGAGTCAGCAGTTTCAAGGGGAACCAGGAAAGCTGGTAAATGATAAATGAGAATATGACTAACTCACCTTGGTTGAATCATTAAAGCCTGGCTTACAGAACTGTGTGTAATACGTCCACCTTTCCGGTGCCACTTTAAGCAGTGTGTGCGCAGTGATGAAGCTATCAAACTTTTCCGGGCATTTACTAACACAGATCTGCAAAAACAAGTCAATAGGATAAACCACAGGTACAATGAACACTGATTTATTTCAGGTATTTTTCTTTCGTTCATCAAAATAAGGTGTTTGTAAATGGATCTAGTGTAAGGATTAAACAATTATAAAGCAGGTACAGCACAGGTTAGGTGTAGAGGGCAACTCATTATCATCCTATTAAACACTCCTGTGGCGGGAACAAAACAGAATAAAAACTCCCTCTATACTGACCCCACCAAACACTCCCAGGGACAGGTACAGCACGAGTTAGATACACAGTAAAGCTCTCTCCACACTGTCCCCTATCAAACACTCCCAAGGACAGGGACAGCATGGGGTTAGAGACAGAGTAAAGCTCCCTCTACTGGGCAGAGTAGAAAGTGAGAAACAGCTCCCATTGGTGGAAGGATTGAGAACCTGAGAGCAGAGATTTATGCTGACTGACAAAGAATCAATAACTGGGAGATGCTAATGGAGCAGAATGTGGAGGAGAAAGATCCAAATGCTATTTAAAAGGGGCTGGGATAAACCCCTGAAGAGAACATATTTGCAAGACCATGGGTAAAAGCAAGCGAGTGACTTTCTTTTGCAAGGACTAATAGAATGAGCCTTGCATCCTATAGGTTCACAGATTGCACCAGTCAGACAATCATCCGCTTCCTTTGCCAGCCCTGTCATAGCCTCTGGGTGAGCTTTAGAGGGGGCAATGACCTGGTGTATAATCGCTGGACTGTTAATCCAGAGATCCAGGTCATCATCTAGGGACCTGGGTTTGAGTCCCACCATGGCAAATGATGGAATTTGAATTCAATAATAATCTGGAATAAAAGTCTAATGGTGACCCTGAAACCATTGTTGATTGTTGGAAAAACCCATCTGGTTCACTAATGTCCTTTAGGGAAGGAAAGTGCCATCCTTACCTGGTCTGGTCTACATGTGACTCTAGACCCACAGCAATGTGGTGACTTTTAACTGCCCTCTGGGCAATTAGGGATGGACAATAGGTGCTGGTCTGGCCAGTAACATGTTTGTCCCATGAATGAAAATAAGCTGGCTGTAGATGAGGCTGATGATTTATTAAAGACGTTTATCTCCATGCCAACAACTGAAATGATATCAACTTCAGGCAGGCTATTTTAACTGGCAGGCACTCTCATCATATTCATGTGTGCTGGGCTTAACATCACAGAGCTGGGAGCCTCAATCTTATCCACAGCATCATCCAAGTCACCAACAGGAAACCATTTTAAGGTGACCAAAGGCAGCTCGTTTCCACTTCTCATCATCCATCTGGAAAGAGATTTAAACTTCTTCATTCACTTCTTGCCCATTTGTTGACAGCATGCTTTCTCCATTTTCCAGTGCAGTAATACAAGAGATCAGAAGAACCAGAAATATTTCAAACTTTAACTTGACGACAACTTTGGGGCTGACCACTGTGGAGCCAGCTAACCATGAAAAGTGCTCTTGGCATGTGATTGGTCTCAAATCAAGGACACGCATCCCATTAAATCCATCCCAAGGAGGGCTACATGCCCATCTCTTTTCTCTCTCCCCCACACTCCCAAAACCTCCAAGCAGAGTCACCCAAACTCCCCCAAACCATAGTGGGGTCACATGCTCCCAAAGGCCACACTTTTCCTCCTACAACTAAACCCAGTCTGGATGCATCAGTCCCTAAAGTCAATCCAGAAACAAACTTTAGATAATTTTCTCCTGTAACTGATTCAAGTGTGGAAAGAAACATTAACACTTGTGCTAAACTTCTCAACAGGAGAAATAGTCATGCCTTAGTCATTTAAAACAGTGAAAACATGTCCATTCCCATTGAAAGGGATAAATTTCTTACTTGTGTGGTGGGACACTGAAACTCCAGCAGTACCAAAGGGCTGGCACATTTGAGCAGGTTGAAATAAAACAGAAATGGTTTGTGCCTGGAAAACAAAAACAGAAATGTTTTGAAACCAAGATTTCCATCGCTTCTCTTTCCACAGCCAGTCCCTTGCTGTAAGCCCAAGTCTGAAACTGACACACAGGAAACGAATACATTACAGCAGGCCAGCAGGTACACAACTTATCTTGATGTCCCTTGTTTAGCCTCAAAACTGGCCACTAATGTGCAATATTTCACTTTCCCCTCTCCTCACCAAGCTGGGCTACCAGTCTCATGAATCAGCTGACCAAAGTGCCTGCTCACGATCTGTCAGTGACTGTCAACAAATACCATACTTTTAAAGTTTTGCACTCAAACTTGATCTTGTCCCAACAAATGTAACAGAAAGCATCAGAAAGCAGTCAAGAGGAGAATCCCTGCTTGATCTTCTGTTTCTCACTTCCTCTCAAGCCTTTTGACATTAAGAGGTTACTGACAGATTTAGCGAGCAGCCTGGCAGACAATGGGACCTACTCGCTTTCATACTGTCAGATCAGGCAGACTCCCTTAACCTTGTGGATCGCAGTAAGCTCACTCCCAAGTCAGGTCGCTGCATTGATGATGACCTGTAATCTTTTTTTTTTTAAAATGGCATTGGCCTTCAGGATTTTAATCACCATTTCAGAGGCTTTACTCTGCAAGTTTACCCTCCGTGTTTGGACAAGTCTCTATTTCGTTATCGAGGAAAGGAAGAGAACTTACTCATTCCGGCCTCCAACTTGACCACAGAACTCGCCACGGCTGTCAGTTGGATAGATCACTTTACGAGGGTCTCCGTGAATCCATGCTAAAAACAGACCATCGTTAATAGTCAGAGTCAGAAAATAATCAATATGTTCATTTTACTCACAAAAAAGGAGGATATAACCAACTCAGCCCATGAAAAAGCAAAACAGACCAAAAGGCCCTGGGCCCAAGCTAATTCCTCACTGACCAAACCACCCTATACTCTAAATCATCTCCGCTCCTAGACATCACCGCAGGAGTTAAACATCCTAGACCCTACCATCTTCAGTTGTTTTAAATGACCTTCCCTCCATCATAAGGTCAGAAGTTCACTGATGATTTCACAATGCTCAGCACCACTCAGACACTGAAACAATTGTGCAAGACCTGGACAATATTTGGGTTTGGGCTAACAAGTGGTAAACAGCATTTGTGCTCTACAGTTAATCATGACGTTTAAAAAATATGCTTTGGAAGAAAAAAAAACAGATTCTATGGAACAAGCAGAGAAGTAGGGTTAGAATGGGTTTAGAAAAGGAGTTATTGGAATTGAAACATTAACTCTGTTTCTCTCTCCACAGGTGCTGCCAGAACTGCTGAAATTCACAGGATAGCTGGTCAGCATGGACAACTGGGACAAAAGGGTCTGTTTCCATACTGTGTGACTCGATGGACTCAGACTTTGTTTTTATTTTACAACAAGTGATGCCTGTAGCCACAACAATGACTTCCTCCTGTATCAGGATTCTACGCGTCGATGCACTGTGTTTGTTCTGAGTGCATAACAGAAATACACTTCCTGAAATGTCAAGTACAGGCAGTGATAAGGAAGCTCAGCCCATCCAAACCAACAGATGTGTGAAAGCCACTGAGCAGCAAGCTGTTCTTTAGCACATGGTTAAACAATAATGTGGAAACACTGGCCACACATACCGTCACACACCCTTGAAAGGCAAGAAGGAATAGACAAGATATTCTGGTTTTGTAGTTAATGTCCATACGCCGGGAATGGAAACTCAGGCACTTTGTTTCATAAGGGTTCGCATTACTGTTTAGAGGAGTCAAGAGAGTTTCTGCACAGGCTGACATTGTACTCTCCCATTTGTATCCAAAACTTACTTTGTAACATTTTGATTAGTCAGGTCAAATCCAAGCAAGTGAGAAGTGTCTACACTGCCTGAACATTCAGTGAGTGAACAGCCTCTGCCCTGTACATTGTGTCATGTTGCTGATGGGAACACAGATCTGAAATCAAGTCCCACTACTCCACCCATTTGGATTTACAGGGAGTACAATTTCAGTAATTACTAATCCATTTTGTCACAAAGGCATAAATGACCAATTTAAATCTCCATGGGCATTAACTTGCCTGATTTGACTATGATCTATAATTTACATCAGGTTTCACCAATAAAAACAACTTGTTTATTATAAACAAACTTATTCTTTAACATGTGGCAAAATTGATGAGTAATTACTTAAATGGAAACATCAATTGTACTCTCTAAATCCAAACCCAGACATTCACAAATAGGACAAACAAGATACATGGTTTCACACAAATATTGAGTGTGGAGAATATGAACCAAAACAAAAAAAATCCAGTTGAAGAAGAGTCCAACCCACCAAGGTGAAATGACAAGACTTTCTCAGTTCCTACTTGGAATTTGGCGATTATATCAAGTTTCTCTAAACCAAGAATTGTCAGTCCAGCAGCTGGGTAGTAGGACCAAGGTTTCTGCTCGAGTTCAACATTTTGTGCTGGTTCCCCTCCACATTCAGTGGGAGGGGGACAGAAAAAGAAACAAGGGGCAGAAAATGAGGGCGAGAGGGACGTTTCCTGAGAGATCAGTTTTGGCTTTAGGCAGTCCAGGTACAATTGCTCTCTTTGTTCTGAGACAAAATTACAAGTTAAATCAGAAGCTGTTGTGGGCACTTCAGCACAAGGTCATATGCTGCTGAGCATTCAATAAAATCATTCTGATTAGATCTCAGATAGGGAAGAGTAAAATAGAGATCCTGCTTCATAGTACAGGAACCCGCATGTTTCAGGAGGTAGAGGTCCAGAATAAGTCAAAATAGAATGGTGCTGCTTTAACAGCATTGCTAGGACAGGGGATTTTTATTTTTACATCATCTGACAGTTTGTGTCTACTTACCCAATATCCCCACGATGACGTACAGTACGATGGCTAGAAAAAAGATGATACAGCAGAGGATGTCAGTGCAGCTCCTGTAAGGATAGAGACAATGACAGAACAAATGAGTAACAAATCAAGACACTTCTTTTATTCATTCATGGGATGATGGCAGTGCCAGCTGGGCCAACATTTGTTGCATAGAAGGTAGTTAAGAGTCACCCACATTGCTGTGGGTCTGGAGTCACATGTAGGTCAGACCAGGTAAGGATGGCAGTTTCCTTCCCTAAAAGGACATTAGTGAACCCGGTGGGTTTTCCTGATAATCAGCAATGGTTTCATAGTCATCATTAGACTCTCAATCCCAGATTTTGTTTTTATTGAATTCAAATGCCACCATCTGCTGTGGTGGGATTCAAACCCAGGTCCCCGTGACATTACCCAGGTCTAGTGATGATACCACTAGACCACTACCTCCCCATACCTTATACTGTAGCTTGACGTCACCTCATTAGCTTTGCGTCTATTCTCGCTGTTCGTAAACTGATGCCACATTTTAAAGGAAAAACAAGCACAAAAATTCACACCACCCTCAGCCAGTCTCTGCATTTACTTCCACATGGGTTGAGCTGCTTTCTTTTGCTAGTACAGCTTTTGATTTTCCTTTACTGATCACAAAACCTTACTGAGTGGCCCTCCACACTCAGATGTGGAGATAGTATATGTCAGAGAGCTAAAGGCCCTGTATCCAAACCCTGAACAAAATAGACTCATACAAAAATCACAGCATCCACAGGAACAGAGGAAAATCTGTAAAAGGTTCCTGATCAACACCACTATGAAACTGGAATGAATACAATGTACATATCAAACAAGGAATTGGCTGCGATTCCCGAATTATCCCTTCACTATTTGCAAACATTTGTGCACATACTGGAGGCAGAATAGTGCATCGGAGACTTCTAACAAATCCAAAATATTGGGAAGAATGGAACAATTAAAAAAGGGAAGAAATGAGTGAAAAGGGGTGGGAACCCAAGACATCACCATCAGCTGGACCCGCTCCTAAAGTGAAAATAACAACTTTCCAATGCTTGTCAGTAAGGTTCTAAGTTTACTGACCAGATCAATTCACACGATAAAGAAAATCAACCAATTAATTTTAAATTAACTACTTCATGGTAGTCAAAAAGGTTGCTTGAAAATCTTATTGTTAATAAAATCCCGCAAATGGCAAAAATGATAATGTCCCCAAAATCAAAAAGCACCGAATCACGAAAGGTTAACAAGTGAACAAACTGAACTCAGGCAATAACATCGAGTGACATCAACTCTCAGAGACACATCATCCTCTGTCCCCTAAAACAAAAGATTAGCAGTACTGTATTCCAGTGTCATACAGAGACAGGCCAGTCCGCATTAGTACCGTACCCTAGTGTTATACAGGGACAGACCCCAGACCCACCTGTACTGCGCCACAGTGTTTTATGGGGACAGAAGTGTATACACCACCAATATCTGCCAGCTTTAGAGTGGCAGATTCATATGCACCAGTACTGTATCCCGATGTGATATTTGAATATTCTTCCCAGGTGCATCCCAAGGCCAGCACCATAAAATCTACTCAATGGAAAACAGAATGAAAAGACCTCCTACCTGTTTCCAACTGGGCCTTTGAATTTTGGATCATATTTCTTTGGCTCACCTAAAACAATGAAAAGATACAAGAAAACATAAACAAAGGCAGATTTGAAAGAAATCACAAGCAACACACACTTATCTACGATTAGACAGCAAGAACTGCAGATGCTGGAGTAAGTGTGGAGCTGGAGGAACATAGCAGACCAGGCAGCAGGAAAGCTGACATTTTGGGTTCGGACCCTTCTTCCTCTGATGCTGCCTAGCTGCTGTGTTCCTCCAGCTCCATACTTTGTTATCTCTATCTACGATTAGCAACTTTCCACAAGAACAAGGATTAGTTTTTATATTAAACTCAAGTTTCATTCTGCAGGTGTTACTGAACACTGACATATTCAAATGATTGATATATAATTGATCTCCTTCCTACTGATGTGCAGTTTCACTACTGCAGAAATGTGCTGGTTCAGTGAAACAATGGAAAACACGATCTTGACTGGTGTGCTAATCAGATTATAGTGAGTTTCATCGGTTTCACTCTTCCATCCTGACCTATCTTGGTCGACAGCCAAAAGGAGTCTAGAAGGCTGGGAAAAGAGTGTCTGAACAGCACATCTGTTGTGTTTCAGCAACATTAGTGTCAATGGGATTGTGGGGTGGGGGCACTCCCCTGACACATAGAATGATGGTTGTGGTTGTTGGGTGGTCAGTTATCTCAGTTCCAGGGCATCTCTGCAGGAGTTCTTCCTATGTGTCAGCCCGATTCTGATCTTGCACATTTTTATCCACCCCCACACCCTGGTCCCAGCGTAACACACTGTGAGAGATCTGTCCCCACCAGGACTATACCCCAATGTTATACAGTGACAGTTCTGTCAATGACACAGGCTGTTTTCAACACCGCCAACCCATTCTCAACCACTCAGGTCTATTACTACATTACATGGTTGCTTTCAGCACTGCTTCCCCCAGCTGTGTCATTTATTCAGCTTCTCTTCTGTCCAGGCTTATTATTCATAACCCCTTCATCCACTTACCCCATTCATATCTTTCTCTCTCTGGGTTCCATTTCCACCTATCCACTCACTCTTGCCCCAAAGCCCCTATCTTGTCTTCAGCACATATACCTTTGTTTTTCTACCTGCTATCAGTTCTGATAAAGAGTCACCTGAAATGTTAACTCATTCTTCCCACAGGTACTACCAGACCTGCTGAGTTTCACCAGAAATTTCTGTTTCCCCCCGTATCAATATCCAACAGTTACCACTGACCAGAAACTGAACTGGGCTAGCCATTTAAATACTGAGGCTGCACAAGCAGGTCAGAGCCTAGGAATCCTGTATTGAGTAAATCACTTCCTGACTCTCCAAAGCCTGTCCACCATCTACGAGGCACAAGTCAGGAGTGTGAGGGAATACTCTCCACTTGCCTGGATGGGTGCAGCTTGAACAACACTCCAGAAGCTTGACACCATCCTGGACAAAGCAGCCCACTTGATCGACAATGGAGCAACAAACATTCTCACCCTCCATTATCATTGCACAGTTACAATAACTCGTACCGTCTACAAGATGCACTGCAGAAATTCACAAAGGGTCATTCGTCAGCACCTTCCAAACCCACAACCACTTCCTTCTGGAAAGACAAGAGCAGCAGATACATCAGATCACCACCATCCTGACATGGAAATATATTTGTATTCCTTCAGTGTTGCTGGGTCAAAATCTTGGAACCTTTCTCACAGTGTTGGGGATCTACCCATAGCACATGGACTGCAGCGGTTCAAGGAGGCAGCTAACCCCCACCACTTTCTCAAACGCAATTAGAAACAAACGATAAATGCTGGCCTGGCCCAGTTGGAACGAAGACCACTTCCCCCGAATGAATTAAAAAAGGAAGCGGAAGGAGGAGTAAGATGCTGAAGGGAAGGATCAGAGGATCTCGTCACTCGTTGGCGGAGCTTGGCCAAGGTGGCCATCAACAAGTCTAGCCAACCAGCACTTGAGTACCCGCTTCTCTTCTGCGGTTCTGTCCATGGAATGGGAGCACACGGAGTCTGCCAGCCCAACAGAGGCATTTAAGGGCCGCCACACAATCACCCCAGTAATGGCCTTCTGATTTAATTTTGGTTGGTGCTTGCCATTGTAAATTTCTATTGATTTTTTTTCCCATTCTTTGTTGCATTGCACCGCTGGACTATCTGACCTTTGTAGGTGTCAGAGGATTGGAGGACTCCCTTGTGGGAGAGGTGTGTCCTAGAGCAGACAGACAGTTCTCAAACCAGCACCTTTCACCAAGCAGCTGCTGGTTCATTATACTCAATGTAAAACTGAATAAACAAATTAAAGAATTAAAGTCTCTGGATAGTATTTTGCAAGACCTGGAAAACTAATAATCACATTAACTAAAAAGAAACAGAGTTAAAGGGACCCGTTGCCACTGAGAATTCTCTGTGCAGATGAAAACGCAACACACACTCTATCCAGATTGACAGCACAAGTGCCTTTGGGGTGGAGCACTATATTTTTAATGATCTGGAGGATTTTGGCCAGAAGCTGGACACCCACTGGTGCAGTATATAGCAGTGATGGAACATTTGTCCCCAACAATTCCCCAAATTCCTGCTCCTTTGCTGGAAACACTTCTAGTGCCACCAGGAGCTGACATACCTGTCGGATTAATGTTGATCTGGTGTCAAGAGGAACACACAGGCCAGGCAGTATCAGAGGAGCAGGAAAGCTGACGTTTCGGGTTGGGACCCTTCTTCAGAAAATCTGAAAGGGTCGCGACCCGAAACGTCAGCTTTCCTGCTCCTCTGATGTTGCCTGGCCTGCTGTGTTCCTCCAGCTTCACAGTGTGTTATCTCTGACTCCACCATCTGCAGTTCTTACTATCTCTGATCTGGTGTCAAGATTGGCTTTAGGAGCTGTATGATGGCACAATGATTATGGCAAAAAGTGGACTGGTTGGACCAAGGGCTTTTTCCATCAAATTCCCATGTTCACAAACAACAATAGATGAACATGCTTCCCATGCTGCCCCTGTTCACTTGGGTTGCAGGGTTGTTAAATATAGTGACCTGCTTCCATTGCATGAAAATCCAGTCAGTCAATCATTACTTCTGTTTTCACTGTAGAAATGTTTTTTAAAATATATTATTCATTCATGGGATTCGGGCTTCAGTGACTGGGCCAAAAACAAGCCACAGCCAATTGTTTATTTCAAAATGCAGTCAGAATTATTCAAGAGTCAGAGTTGTACAGCATGGAAACAGACCCCTCAGGCCAACTCATCCACTCAGATTAGATATCGCAAATTAATCTAGTCCCATTTGCCAGCATTTGGCCCATATCCCTCTAAACTCTTCCTATTCATAAACCCATCCAGATGCCTTTTAAACGTTGTAATTGTACCAGCCTCCACTACTTCCTCTGGCAGCTCATTCCATACACACACCACCTTCTATGTGGAAAAGCTTCCCCTAAGATGTCTTTTAAATCTTTCCCCTCGCACCTTTAACCTATGCCCTATAGTTTTGGACTCTCCTACTCGGAGGGAGAAACGACCTTGGCTATTCATCCTATCCATGCCCCTCTTGATTTTATAAACCTCTAAAAGGTCACCCCTCAGCCTCTGACGATCCAGGAAAAATAGGCCCAACCTATTCAGCCTCTCCCTATAGCTCAAACCCTCCATACCTGGCAACACCCTCGTAAATTTTTTCTGAACACTTTCAAGTTTCACAACATCTTTCCTATACCAGGGAGACCAGAAGTTTCTTTCATCATAGCAGACAGCGCCTGCAGGTATTTATCTTACAAACTTCAGTCACCTCATGGTGAACTTCCATTTTGAATCTCTATGTAATCCCTAATGAGTTCCTGTGGGAACCCATCTGCCAACAGGAGTGGCACAGAACACCAAACCTCTCACAGCAAGATCTCTCTCACAGTAACAGATTAAATAACCAGATAATCTGTTTGAAGTCAGAATCAGAAAGTGTTAGAAAAACTCAAGTGGTCTGGCATCATCTGTGGAGAGAGAAACTGAGTTAACATTAAGAATCTAGCCGACGTTATACTTGACTCAAAACATTAAACCATTCCTCTCCATGGAACAATACTTTGTTTCAATGTTAAAGTTCAAGAATCCACAAACAAATTTATCTGTTGGTTGATGTATAAAAATTGACCTGGTCAGCAGCATGAGATCTTTGGTCTTAAAACATCATAGGATATTTTATAACCCCCAAACAATTTATCATCTTGTCCTAAAGCTGACACATTGACAGTACAGCATTCCTTTGGCACTGCACTGAAATGTCAGCCTGGATGTGAGATCAAGCTTCTGGACTAAGTTTTAAACACAACCTTCTTTCAAATAGGCAGCTTTCACACTGCAGTTTTCTTAGATAGAAAATTAAAGGGAAGATAGCAACTCTAACACTGGCGTCTTTTGTTTGTGGACAGCCAAGATTGACAATTCCGGCTACTAGTCCAAAACATTAAAACACTGCCACATTCTGGGAATCCTCCCTGTTTTACATCTGCTGCAATGTGCGGCAATACCAAATCATACAAATTTAATCACAAACACCAGAATTACACAGAATACCCATCAGCTTGTGTCAACACCAACATTTATAACATTAACCAGATTCTTCTCTCTACACTCTGGCTATTTTTTTTAAACACATGTTCAGTTGATTTAAAATAGCAGTTTATAATCATGTTTTATAGTAACATGTAGACCTTACTGTCTGTGGCAAAGTGCACAATGTCACCACAGGAAATACCTCGCTGTTTGAGTCCTGCTCTCATTTGCACGCAGGTGTCAGCTAACATTACTCCAAACGTGGGACAGCGTGTCAAAGCAGAACCAAACCAGAGAGATGTAAAATCAATTCAAGAGATTAAATTCCTACATTCAGGGGATGTGGAGACAAGATTAAAAAGACTAATTAAGACAGCAATTGACCCCAAAGTGAGGGGGGAGGTGCCAATCCCTCAACATCCTGTTTAATTGACTAATTAAACAAACACAACAGGAAACAATTCACACACTGAC